ATTTCTCCAGCAACCACGAAGGTTTTTCTTATGAAAAGCATTATTCCCAGCTATTTTTTGATGGCACTGTGAATTGAGAGGGCTCCCTTATCAGAGGCGGAGCTCTCTTCAGTTGTGGCAGTTCTTTGTCACATTTCTTGATGACCCATTCAAAACCCACTTCCATTGCCTAGACTAGCCAATGCATGGAGTTTAAGCTGACAGAACTTGAAGAGGCTGCTCGGCATAGAGTATCCGGAAAATTTGGCCATGAACTATGACAAACAGCCATTCTCTACACTATTACTATGAAAAGAGCACCATGCAGAAGAGAGCAGGGGAATGGTATGTCTACAAATGTGTGACCCAGACACCCTGTTCTCCATGGCCTTCCCAGACAATCAGCGTCCAATCCTGAAGGTGGAGTATGAGTGCCCCCTCAATGAAGAGGACACCTGACCCTGACTCACTTCGAATACAAACCTGCTTACTTCCTGGACATGGATGGCTGCAGCAGCCTTCCAACTATTCTGAAGGCTTCACTTATTAAGTTTCTGAGTGGCTGAGAGGCCAAATCCTAAAGCTAGCAATTCCCATTCAGGCAAATAAAGACAGTAGTTTTGTTTGTGTTGTTGGCTGTTGCTAAAGCTTGCCCTTTGAATATTATCTGGAGAACCCAAGCCACCTATTTCTTTTGGTCTTTTTGAGACAGGGTCTCCCTGTAGCCCCAGCTGTCCTGGAACTCACTATGTAGACCAGGCTGGCCTTGAACTCACAGAGATCCGCCTGCCTCTGCCTCCCAAGTGCTGGGAATTAAAGGCTTGCGCCACCATGCCCAGCTTTGGATTGATACTTTTAAAGACAAATCACCTTGGTTGGGGAGTGGGAATAGGGAGAGGTAGAAAAACCACCAAGCATCTGGTTCTTCGGCCCTGATTATGGTGATTCCTGTGAAGAGATGGAAGCCTCCTTACCATCATGGACATTATGTGCAGAGCAATACCTTGTTCAAGTTAGTGCCCTCAAAACAGAACCAAGTGTGTGACAATCTGCATTGATCACGGACTACTACAAATGCCTTTATGTAGAAGGGCTTTGACTTGCACAATTTATAGGAAAGAAATCACACACCCATAGGAAAGTAGGTAGACTGGGTTGGGGAGGCTCAGACTCTTAATGCTGAAAGTTTGTAGAGCTCTTGTAAATCAATCAGAAATGTTTCCCCTTGTCCAGAACAAGGGAAGTCAGGACAGCTCTTATCCACTCTATGGTTCTCTAACTAACGCTGCTCTTGGGAACCTCCCAGCCATATGGTCACCAAGTAGAGCAGGCCCCCATTTCTCCTGCCAATCGCATGGCTGAATATGGATGGCTTTCATTTTAAAAGAAAGGCAATTAATGCTTTTGACAGTATTTTGTTTTGCTCTGATTTGGGGGACTGTTTTGTTTTGGTGATTGTTTTGGAAAAATAGTTTATATAAACTGATTTTTGTAGTTTCAGTATTTAAAGCAAAATAAAAAAATAAAAATACCCACAACAGCAACACATTTTTTGGTAACAGCACTGTGTCCCTGAGGCAGGGCTGTGCCCACTTACAAAGATGCTGCATGCTGCAGCTTGAAAGGAGCTTTGCTGGGGCTTCCCCTTAGCCATGTAAAAGCATGCTTTGTTGCCTGCTTGGTGCTTTCTGCACCAGACAGCCTACTGAAACACTGCACCTGGACACAGCTTAGATTCTCTATGTATAGCTCCTGTGGTCACTAACTACCCTCTCTGGAAAGCAGCTGTACATACCACATGTCATGACCACTGAGCACCTGGTTATCTGGTGAGAATCCTAGGCATGACTAAGGACAATTTCCATTTCGTCCTTTTTCTCTCAATTTTGGACTTTAAACCCTACTGGCGGTTCCCTAGGGTCTGTCCTAGGTGTGACATTGGCAGGTAAAACAGTGCTCGAGTTCTTATTCCCTGTCAATTTTTAGTATTATTATGACTGCTGTATTATATCATTTTGTTTTTAAACAACAAAACTAAATCTGTGTGAAAGTTCAGCTCAGAGCAGAGAAAAAGTCACCAGGAAGCAGTGGTACCTTGGTAGCCTGCTGCTCTGTTGATAAGATTTCTATGCTCCCCTTGACTCTTAGTACGTTAAGAACTGTGTTAGACTGTGCTGCTCATGCGTGCAGGATACCGCTGACTCTGTGAATGTGGGCATAATCACTGTTCTATAGAGTGCTCCATAGTCCCTCTTCTGACAAACAGAGCATTTGTGAAGAGGCTCACAAGACTAAGGGGTGCATTTTACAACTATGGAAACATGGTTTTCCTCTATTGGAGGCAAATTTGTCCAGAGGTGTCAAACCCAAAGCTTGGGCCTCAATTAGCATTGTACTCTAATCAAAGGACTCCATATTTATAGCTTTCTGATCTACACATAGTCTATACCTAGATGAGTAATTTATTCCCAGCTGGCTAGAAACTTATTTGTTGTAATACTGTATAATTTGGTTTTCTTTTCTTATCCTGGTTTGATTCTTCTTTTTATGATGAAATAAAAATGAGACATATTTAGAAAGAAAATCATCACAAGAGTATTGTGAGTATCAAGTAAATATAAAAATTCACTTATGAACTCTGTACTTTTGCTTGTTTGTTTTCAGCTATTGGTAGGGGGCAAGGTCTTAGCACTGACTGGCCTGAACTCATGGTAATCCTCCTGCCTCGGCCTCTTAAGTGCTAAGATTACAGGGATCAACCACCATTCCCCACTTGTACTCTCCGGTACGCATGTTATAACTCAGAGAAAAAATTCAAGAGTTATGTGAAAAGTACTTTTGCAAACTATATATAAAGCAGTATTTAGTCACTGATCTTTAAATAAATGCAAAATCCCTGTTTGTGAAAGGGTTATAATTTAGCTAAATGAGCAAGTTCAAACTAAAAGGAACAAAACATTCCTCATTCTCCTCACCCCAACATGGAGAATGAATGTAGTCAAGACTCTCTAAAACAACAGCAAAAATGTTCACCAATCAATTATCATAGTGGGGTATTTATACTTTACGTAAGGAAGTAGAAATAATGACAAATTCTCTCTCTCTCTCTTTTTTTTTTTTTTTTTGAGACAGGGTCTCCCTGTAGCCCCAGCTGTCCATTGAACTCACTATGTAAACCAGGCTGGCCTTGAACTCACAGAGATCCACCTGCCTCTGCCTCCCAAGTGCTGGGATTGAAGGCGTGCACCACCACGCCTGGCCCAATTCTCTTTAATGGAAAAAGAAACTATTGAACTTGTTTTAAGATTTAAAAAAGACCTTAAACCAAAAAACAGCACTAAAATATATAACTAGACAGAGAATAGGAGGCTGATATAACAAGATTTTTGCAGTTAGTTATAATTGAAACTCAATCTAATAAACACCATGTCTCTAAAACACTGTCACAAATTCACATAGTACAGGGAGGTGTACATAGGGGTGGACATTTATCTTTTTTTTTTTTTCTTTCCTAATATTGGCTTATTTACTTTCTCCTGGTTGAATTCTATGAAGAAAGGGTTGTGAAAGCCTGGGTATTTAAAGCCTGTTAATACCTGCAGTCCAGTAGGATACACAGTATAAGAACCCAGATTCTGAACCATACTTCTAACCCTGTACAGTCTTTCAGCACTCAGCAAACCAACTGCTCAACACAAACTAAAGATAATGTTTTAAAACAAAACTAGAACAATTCTTTAAGAAGAAAAGCATGGTATCTTTAAATTCTAGAAATAAATAAAAATACTTGATGATAAGTATATTACATGATTTATAAACACTTCAGAACAAACAAATACCAATCTCCATCCAAATATTGAGGGGTTTTGTTTATTTACTATGTGGTCTCTCTTTTTTAAAAAAAAAATTTTTTTGGTCTTTTTGAAACAGGGTCTCCCTGTAGCCCCAACTGGCCTGGAACTCACTATGTAGACTAGGCTGGCCTTGAACTCACAGAGATCTAACTGCCTCTGCCTCCCAAGAGTGCTGGGACTATAGGCATGTGCCACCATGCCTGGCTAAAAAATGTTATTGATATTTTTATTTTATGTATATGAGTGTTTTGCCTGTATATGTAAGTGTATACCACATGCATGTAGTGCTCATGGAGACCAGAAGAGGGCACTGGATACCCTAGGACTGGAGTTACAGGCTGGCCTCAAATGCAGAGATTTGTCTGCCTCTGCCTCCTGACTACTGGGATTAGAGTTCTGCACCACCACCCAAGTGATTTTTTTCTATAATTTTTTGTTATTTTTTTGAGCTAAGGTCTCTCTGTAGCCCCAGCTGGCCTAGAAGTCACTATGTAGACCAGGCTGGCCTTGATCTCACAGAAATCTACCTGCCTCTGCCTCCTGAGTACCGGGACCAAAGTCGTGTGCCACCATACCCAGATATTTGATTTTATTTTATGTATCCGAGAGTTCTACTAACATGTACGTAGGAGCACTCATGTTGTGTAATGACCATGGAGGCCAGAAGAGAACACTGGAACCCCTGGAACTGGAGTTAGAGACCACTGTTAGCTACCATGTGGGTGCTGGGAACTGCACTTGGGTTCTCTACAAGGGCAACCAGTGCTCTTAACCACTAAGCCATGTTTCCATTCCTTTAAGTGTTTTAAAAGGTACTTTTGAAGGTAAGGACAGGAATGGGACAATCGCTAAAAAAACCCAATTATTTTCTCCAGCCTAAGAAATGAAACCATATAACACCTATATTTGAAGAAAACTAGCTTGAAGAAAGAAGTTAAACCTAACTGAATGCTCAAGAGAATAAACATTAGAGAGTCACCCTCTGTACAACATTAAAATCAGGAAAAAAAAAAACCTTACCTTTTACTTTGGAAAGGGAGCATTGCATCATCCCACTGCACTGAATAAAAAGGGCCACTGGGTCGGGCACCCTCAAGACACTGACCTGGGTGCTATTACATGTGAGCCAAATAAACAACACAGAATAAAAGACAGGCAGTTAGTTACCCAAGAGGAATGCTCCTTCATCTGGTGTTGGTTGCTGTGAGGCCCACTGGCATGGCCACGCCAAAAGCAGTTTTGGCAGAGCTGATAGTTGTGGCACTGCTGACATCGGTACCGGAAGCCCATCATGCTCTCACAGCGACAATAAGAGCACTCCACAGGATGGAAGACTGGAGAGGGAGGAGAAGGGACAAAATAGTAACAACTGAAGACCAGAATCAACACTGAAGAAAACCAAATCGAACATATTAACCCAGGTGGAAACACGGTTAGAACCAAAGACACTAAATTGTCTGCTTTCTGTCAAGATACTGTATTTCTAAGGAATGACAGAAGTGCTATCAAAAGTGTGTGCTCAAAAGCAAAGCCATGTCACTTGGTATACTCCTCCAGACAACATCAATATGATCAAAATTTATCATTCTAAGGAATAATTTTGGGTTAACAATAAATGACATAGGAGTATTAATATAAATTATCAGGGACTGGAGAGATGGCTCAGCTGTTAAAAACACTGTTCTTGCAAAAGACCTGGGTTCAAATCCCAGCACCCACATGGCAGCTAACAACTGTCCATAACTCCAGTTCCAAGGGATCCGACAGCTTCTTCTGTCCTCCACGGGCATAGCACAACATGGATGCACTTACTTACATACTGTAGGCAATACACGCATACACGTGAGATAAAAATAATAAAATGTAAAAATATTATATAATATAAATTGTCAAATGTACTCTGGCAATTTTGGTTGAACATGTGTGACTTACTTCTAAGCAAGTTAAGAACCAGTGCTCACACAATGGAAAGGTGGGCAGCAGGGAAAGCAAGATCCAGCCTGAGGCAGATCAGCAAGTGTGCTGGGTTCATTACTAAGAAAACAACTGTTCAGGGATTAAAAGCACCATTTTGGCAAAGTGCAACATACATCAGTTACCTTCTTATTTATCCTGGATTTGTAAACAGGAAAAGTACAATTTCAGCTTAAGCAAATAAGAATTTGACTATTTTTGTTTGGCCTGGTTTTTTGTTTTATTTTTGTTTTTTGTTTGTTTTAAACAGAGTCTCCTGTAACCCAGGCTGGCCTTGAATACCTATGATCTTCAATTCCTGATACTCCTGTTTCCATCTCCCAAGCATTGGGATTACTGGTGTGTGCCACCATACCTGGCTTAGTATTTATCCTTTAAATACTATTTCCAAAACATAGGAAGGACCCAAACCAATATAATATCCCTCAAATTCATGCATACCATAATTTTTACAATTTGTTTCCCACGATAAAAATCAAGACATACAGGCAAATTTTAAAGTGATAACAAGCTTTTTATTCCCAGAGACTTCAAAGATTTTGTAACATTTCTCTGTATCTAAGGAAAATTAATATCACTAACCACATAAATGTGATCAATAAATAATATACTCCCTGCAAACTCGTAGTAAAATATTCATATGCATAACAGCACATCTTGACAAATGAGGCTCTTTCTACTCCTCATAGGAGAAAGTGATTTATGAAAATTAATTGGATATGAAACTATTGAAACACTTAAGATAGAAAGGCAGCACTCCTCAAAGAACCAGTAATACTGCAGCAATTTAACAACTTACATGTCTATTCAAAACTCTTGTTTAAAAATTTAGCTACTTTAAAAGTCTAGTTAAAGCAGGGCGTGGTGGTGCACACCTTTAATCCTCTGCAGAGGCAAGAGGATCTCAAGGCCAGCCTAGTCTACATAGTGAGTTCCAGGACAGCTGGGGCTACAGGGAGACCCTGTCTCAGAAAGACCAAAAAAAAAGGTTTAGTTAAGAAGCTCAGCTTTCTGGATGTCTTAACTTCCCTTCAACCAGCGCTGGAGAGACAGCTCATTGGTTAAGAGTACTGGCTGCTCCTGCAGAGAACCAGGGTTTGGTTCCAAGCACTCACATGGTGGCTAACAACCATCTGTAACTCCAGTTTCGGGGGATATGACACCCTCTTCTGACCAACCTCCAAGAGCATTGCATGACACGGGAGCATCTACATACATGCAAGTAATACAGTCATACATATAATAAAATAAAAATAAAAATAATTTTTTTTTTAAATTAAAAAGTCTAGTTAAAAGACTCTGATCCTTTAGAAAAATAATCCTGAAACTAAGAAGCTTGTGAAGAAAATCCACAGCTGAGCAAAAGGTAGAGGTTTAAAAGAAGAAAAATGTTGTGTAGAAAGGGCAGAAAATAAAAGAAGTGAGAAGAAAGGGAGAAAGGATTCTGCTTTGCAGCAGCTTGTCAGCTCTGCCTTGTTCCCGTCTATGGAATAGAGAGAGACAAGAACCTGGAGAGAAGGAAGGTTATATGGAAAAATGATGACTTCCCTTTAACACATTCAAACAACCTGAATACAGAAATAAACCAATGGCAACAGCAGAAAACACTAAGAAGGATTTAGGAATTTAATATCACTTCAACTCAAAGTGAAACAAAGATCTGTTTTACTGGGAAGTTAATGTACTAGAAAGGATCCAAAGGCTGTATCTGAGGTAAAGTGGTAAAGAAGGAGTTGGGGAGATGGCTGTGGGTAAAGTACCTGCCACATAAGCATAAGGACCTAAATTCAGATCTCTAGCATCTACATAAAAAATATGTGTGGTGTCATGTGTTCACAACCCCATCACTGGGTAGGGAGGGAGGCATGGAGACAGGTGAGATCCCCAGAGCTTTCTAATCATCCAATCTAGGCAAGTGGTGAGCTCTGCGTTGAGTGAAAGACTGTCTCAAAAGATTAAGGTAGAGAGAGTCAAAATGAAAGACCCCAACATCGACCTCTGGTCTCCACATGCAGGAACACATAAGTGTACACACACCACCCCATCACTGGGTAGGGAGGGAGGCATGGAGACAGGTGAGATCCCCAGAGCTTTCTAATCATCCAATCTAGGCAAGTGGTGAGCTCTGCGTTGAGTGAAAGACTGTCTCAAAAGATTAAGGTAGAGAGAGTCAAAATGAAAGACCCCAACATCGACCTCTGGTCTCCACATGCAGGAACACATAAGTGTACACACACCACATACCACACACACACACACACACACACACACACGGTGGTGGCATATGCTTTTAATCCCAGCACTTGGTGGGAGGCAGAAGCAGGAGGATCTAACACAACCAGGATTACACAGTGAGACCTTGTCTCAAAAGACAAAGCAAACAACAAAAAAAAAAAAAAAAAAAATGGTAAAGGGGGAAAAAAAAAGAGGAAGATAGAAGAGGCCATCTTTTTCAATTGTTAAAAATTATAGTTTCGGTGGTTAATATTGCATATCTCCAATTTTTTAAAGCTACAATTTTGATAAATTAAAGGGAGAAAAAAGGAAGTCCTGACTACATTATGTAAGCTCATGCAGATGACTGCCTGAAATCTAGAGTGAAAAAAAACTTGTCTGAGTGGGGCTTGGTGGACATGCCTTTAAACCCAGCACTGGGGAGGCAGAGGCAGGCAGATCTCTGTGAGTTTGAGGCCAGCCTGGTCTACATAGTGAGTTTTTTAGCCCAATAGTGAATTTTTTAGCCCAAGTGGGGCTACAGGAGACCCTGTCTCAAAAAAACAAAAAAAAACAAACTTGTCTGAACCAAGTTTTATCATTTCTCAGAATCCTATTTAAATAATAAGCCTCTCTCTTTGTGAAGAAATAAGTATTTTTCTTTTGAAAGCAAGAGCCACAATTTAAATTTTCCAGGATAACAGCTAACAACACTACAAACAATCAGTTCCCTAGTGCCTAAGGGATGAAGGACACAGGTGTGCTCACCATTCTCAACATGGGCAAGTCTGTGCATGAGAGGTAGCCAGACAAGGCACTGTGGCGGAGGATCGGCCATCATTGTGTCTAGAAACATATTCAGCATTATCTTCTTCTGTAAAGAGAAGAAAAACAAAGACACTTTACATCATTTCAAGTGTCTTTAAGCTTCAAGATTAATTTAGGATTCTCTTAACCAAGAAGAAATGAACTACATGTGAAATTTTACAGTAAAATAGTATTTTACATTTTTACAATCCTAACGACATACTATACTACATGCACATGACTACTACCTGAAAATGCAACTCTACAGATATGATTCTGAGTCTCAAAACAGCTATTAGCTGCCTTATCATTATTTGACAGACAAGAAAAAAGAGCAAGGCATTTAGTGACAAGTCATGGTCCAACCCAAACCAGACACAGAGTGAGAACAACAATGTTCTTCCAATCATCATTTCTGTTGTCCTGAAAGAGATATCCCACTGCTGATCATAAAACATCTATGACAACAGGAACTAAGGATGCCTGTTTATGAGCCATATTTCCAACATTCTTATTTATTTATTTATTTATTTATTTATTTAACTTTATGTCTTATTGAGACAGGGTCTCCCTATTGCCCCAGCTGGCCTGGCCACTTGCTATGTAGACCAGGCTGGCCTGCCTCTGCCTTCCAAGTGCTGGGATCAAAGGTGTGCGCTACCATGCACCCAGCATTTCCAACATTCTTAACAGTGCTTGGCATACTATAGGTACAAATAATTATTGAAGTATATATTGAAACAAAGGGAAACACTCAGATATCAGTACTCTATCTCTCACTAGACTGCATTTTTCTGTTCTAATCTTTATTTCTCTTTCAACAGATAGTAAGCTTCTACTCTGTGTGGAAAACTGGTATGATTATGCCCCATGTAGACAATTACAAAATAGTCTAGAGAGACAAAATAGAAGCAGAATTACATGATGTAGATAGAACACATCTGCACAATATTTCAAATTGATGAATTTCCTTTTTATTCCTCCAAGCCACAAAATACCTTCTAGCTCTAAAGGGAAAGGACAAAGACAGAAACAAAATGCCATGCAACTTGATAGGAAGTCTATAATGATAGCCTACACCCATAGGGCCCACTTCAAACAGCATTAGAAGAACAGCAGAAAGCCAGAAACAGCAACAGACACCTGCATTTGCAAGTCTGAGGCAGGATGATCACAAGTTCAGGGCCAGCTTGCTACATAATGAGTTCCAGGCCACCCTGAGCTACAGGGTGAGTTCCTGTCTCAAAAAAATAAAACAAGGGCAAGAGACAGATGGATCTTGATTGAATAAAGGCACTTGCCACATAAGCCTGGGGGCCTGAGTTGGATAATCAGAACTCATACACAGGTAAAAAGAGAGAACCAACACCACAAAGTTGTGATCTGACCTCCACACATATGCTGTGGCACAGACAGACAGACAGACAGACACGCACGCGCACACACACAAAAATGTTCAAAAGAAAGAAAAATGCAGAAAGGGCAGCACATAGGAGCTACATGACCGCCTGACACTAAAAGAACTCCTTTACCATGCCTTGGTCCTGCCATCTGAAGACAGGGTAAAAGCTAGGGATATAGCTATGGGGTAGAGTACTTGCCTAATGTGCAAGGCCCTGGGTTCGATCCCCAGAACTGGAAAAAAACATATAATACATGAAGACACGATGGAGGGGTGGTAGGGCAATGCAAAAATGTTGCTCAAAATTTCATCCTACTTCCTTCCAATTAGTCCTACCAATAGGCTATCAAAACTTGGCATTTCTCAATCAAACTTTTAATTAATTTAATTTCTTTCATGAGGGAAAAATAGAAAAGGTAAAATTGGTTAGCTAAGCCAATTGCAAAATAGCTTGGATTTTTACCACTAATACGCTGTTTAACTAGTGGCAAAGAGTGATGCTGCAGGGGGGCACAGGACAGAGAGGCCTCCAAGACTGTCTTCCACAGCACTCTCCCCACAGCTGTCCTCATTATATCAAATACAAGGCCACACATATGACTGCTGGGCCTTTTGGCAACGTGAAGATATTAACTCCAGTATACATTTAATTGGAAATCGTTCTCTCTGAGGATATCGCTGAAGAAGAAACTAGAAAGTAAATAGAAAAGGAAGGTAAAAAGAGGCTGAGTGGGCAAGAAGCACTGCAGTGAGAACCTGGGAAAAATGGCTTGTCCAAAAGGGAAGACTGGGGAAGAAAGGGGCCAGACAAGCAGAGGCCATCATTCCCAGAGTCTCTCAACACTGCTGCACACAGCTGAAGACAGAGAAGCCAGTTCAGACACTCCAGAAAAGTGGTATCCAAAGCATTCTGTCTCTTTCAGGCACCCAAATTTCTGATGTTTCTGAGACCCTGGAAGACCGAGAGGACTGAGCATACAACACTGAAGAGCAGGATGCCCCCACAAACTGTAACTGGAGACTCAGATATGGAAATTACCTCTACAATAATATGCTAAAAACCAAGAATCAAAATGAAGCCAAAGTGTCCATTTTAAATTACTGTGGCAGTTGTAGTGATTCATGCCTGTAATCCTAGCCCTAGGAAAGGGAGACAGGATTCTGAGCTCATGGCCAGCCTGGTCTACATGGCAAGACCCTGTCTTAAAACAACAAGGATGGTTCCACAGATAAAAGTACGTATCATGCAAGCCTGGAGACCAAAGTTCAATCTCTGAATCCCACATAAAGTTGGACGAAGAGAATTGACTCTGCAAAGCAGTCCTCTGACCTCCACATATGTGCCACGGCATAAACCCCGCCCCAATATGCACATACATAAATAATAATTTAATTAAAAGAAAACTACTGAGAAAAAAGATGCTATCAAGTTTTCTAGATAGTATGAGGTAGGGTAACAAAAATGAAAATGTGTCTGATCCTTAAATTATAAATTTTATGCTTACAATTTTTTTTTTTTGTCTTTTTGAGACAGGGTTTCCCCGTAGCCCCAGCTGGCCTGGAAGTCACTATGTAGACCAGGCTGGCTTTGAACTCACAGAGATCTGCCTGCCTATGCCTCCCAAGTGCTGACAATTTTTTTATTGATATAATTGTTAAAAATGACATTTTTACAAACCTACTCAAAATAGTGCTATTTTCTCCAAAAATTTTTGATTCACTCTATTTTTTTAAACATTAAGATAATATGCTTTGAAATCTTAGCAGACCCTCATAAATACACAGATTAATTTCCAAAGTTTTCCTCAGGTCCTAAAAGTTCTCAAAAAGCCTGAGGGATAAAAGGAGAAGAGTGACATCCCATGGCTCAGCCTCCACCAGCCCTGTGATGAAAAACATGTTTGACAGTTCTGGGTCACTTTTGTTTCTCGAGAGCCAGAAAGTGGCTCTCAAAGCATAGCCAGGGAGCTGGAGAGGTGGCTCAGCTGTTAAGAGCACCTGCTGCTCTTGCAGAGGAGTCAGGTTCAGTTCCCAGCACCCACATGGCAGCTAACAACCATCTCTAACTCCAGTTCCGGAGGATCTAATGCTCTCTTCTGGCCTCCATGGGCACTGCATGCACATGGTGTACTTACATACTTGCAGGTAAAACACTCATATACATAAAAATAAATAATAAATATTCTAAAAAAGCACAACCAGGACACCCCTGAGTGGGGAAAGTTTCATTATACTTAAAATATCATTGTTTTTCTGTCTTGTTCGCTCATGGGAGTGCAGTGGGGCTTTCCAGAAGCAGCAGGACAAAGTCACAATGATCTGACAAGACTACAAAGAGATCTCCTGCTTTTCAGATCATGGAGCTGTGTGACGCAAATACAAATAACATATTTTTCTCTCATTATTTTATTAAACATTCCTACAAGGTCTTCGATTTTAATCATTTAACAGCTGCCTGATGCACTGAGCATAATTTACAATCATCTCTGTAAAACACTGAGGCTATTTCCATTGTTGAATGTAGTCTCTCACTTCTTTCCTAGAAATGAGTTAGTTTGCTATTCACTGTCATTCTAATCCTCAATACTAACAATTATTATTCTATTTCATTCTTATATCCTTACTTCCTTTAGACTACCTACTCCCTTTATTTAAAGATGGGGGGCAGGGAGGAGAGAAACCAACCCTTTAAAAGGAGAAATCTAAGGGCTGGAGAGATGGCACTGACTACTCTTGTAGGGGACCTGGGTTTTGATTCCCAGCACCACATGGTGGCTACAAACTGTCCTTAACTCCAGTTCCAGGGTAATCTGAAGCCGCCTTCCCACCACCACAGCACTGCATGACATGTGTACTCACATACATGCAAGCAATACACTCAAACACATAAAATTAAAATTTAAAAAAAAATGAGGGGGCTGCACAGCTGTCGGCTTCCTAGTGCCAGCATTTTTCCTGGGTAAGTGCAGCAGCGCCCACTGTGCCTTGACTCCCTCAGCGTCATTCACCCTCCCAGCTCCCCCCTCCCCCCATCTCAAGAGACTCCCAGACAGTAACCCAGCATAGAACTGGGAAAATGCAGAGCAAACCCCAGTGTTCTCTAAAGGAATATTGACAACTGATTGCTGCTAGATGAGGAACAGCTGATCTTCCTAAAACAAGGAACTCTAGACAGGCTGACTAGATTCAGCAGATGGACAAGCACTGGGAAACAGCTGGGGGCAACAACAACACAGTGGACAGTAACAGGGATGACCGAGTATAAGGGCTCCAATGGGGGGAAGGGTATGGGGGGGTGCCATTAGAGAAGTGGGTATATAGATGAATAAGAATGTTTGGGATGTTCTGTATCACACACACACACACACACACACACACACACACACATCATCATCATCATCATCATCATCAAACTTTAAAAATGAGCTATATTTGAGGAAGAAGCATAAAAATTTACTTCATGTTAACTAGTAGAGGTGATAAACATTACCACGGAAGTCTACCTGATAACTTTATATCCATACTCAGGTGCCAAGGATCTGAGTGTAACCGACTGTGACCAGTAATAATCAGATACATAGACATTAGAGACACATGTATAAACATCTAAGTGTTAGCATTAAAAATGAATCTTTCTGTAGGAAACTATATTTTAAAATGAAATT